AAGTGGGCACAGCAGTAAACTTCTTCTTTACGTATGTCCCTTGGTTATCATCGCGTCGTAACCATGGAGTGTCCTCATCATTTACCAAGATGCTAGGGTTGTGAACATATTTCTTCAGGACTCCCATGAATCTCTCTAAGGGGAACATGTTGTGTAGGAACACAGGACCGAGAGTGAAAATCTTCTTGACTAGGTGAACTAGGAGGTGTGTCATAATATCAAAGAAGGAAGGAGGGAACACCAACTCAAAGCTGACGAGAACAAGTGTGAATGAAGAGTCCTTGAGCAAGGACATTCCACCGTATTTTTACATATAGCACATGGGCAGCACATGAAACCGTCGCGTTTGTTTGCCTCGGCCGCACGTAACAAAGAATGCACGCCGTCAATGAACTCTTGGGAGCGGCGATCAACATTATACATCCAATGATGGCTCATCTGCATTACATGACATAAATACCATATTAAAACCTAGATCATAATTAATTATTTATACAACATACGTGCCACCACAAAAGATACAAATTTATGAAAGCATCGCTACAATGTAGACAATCCCAACTACCACTAAAAGAACTAAAGCTAAAATACATTTCAGTAGCACTAGGATTTCACAACCAATCTCAACTAAAACAGACAGATCCCCCGATTGTGCAACATCTTTGGGCTTCTTCGGCTGGATCACTGCCTCATTAGCCGCCGTATCTGCCTGTTGTGCAAGATATTTTTGCACGAGTTCAACATACTCTTCCTCCCAGTAGAAGCCTAAACATCGTCCACTGCCATCCCACTGAAATTAAAACAAAAAATTAGAACTTTAATCACAACCATCATGAAAATAGGTATAAACTAACCATAATCATTAAATACGATAAAATAACTCACATTGCGATCCGGACACTTGTAGAAGATACGATCTTTGTTGGGACCCTCCTTCTTCACTCGGTACTCCATCACAATCTTCATCTCATCACGACACTTGCCGCATGGAATGAGAGAGAGGCCCGGCCTAAGTCTCTTTGGAAACCCATGAGAGGCCGAGGACCCGGAAGCAGTTGCCATCTACTCTCTATACTCATTTTTTAATACACTATAAATTTCTCATTTTATAAACAAATAAAATTAAGAAACTATAAAATTATCTAGATCTCTAAACAATGATATTTTTAATGGTCATTGTGTTCTCGTCTTTTACTGCGGCAGGTAAGTAATTCACATGATATTTCCGCAAATTAACAGAAGAATGGGAGTGTACACACATAACAGACTACTGCGACGATATCGGGACGTGTGAAGAAATAACCATCCGTACTAGTTGACCTTGCTTACGTGATCATCTCGGCGAGCATTTCTCCACCGGACGGCACCGTACTTGGCCACAGAAGAGCTCCAATTCTACGAGGAAGGGAACACGGTCTTCCACGACCGTTGCCGCTCTCCCTCGTAGAATCAAAGCTCCTCCTTGACGTTCGTTACCGCTCGGCAGAGAACATGCTCGCCGAGATGAACACGGTCCGCAAGTTCAACTAGTACGGATTTTCTATAATTTTCTAACTATTTTCTAAGTTTATATTTATATATATACTATGTTTGGGTATGGTGATTGACAGACTACTGCAACGATATCGGGACATATGAATAAATAACCATCCGTACTAGTTGAACTTACTTACGTGATCATCTCAGCGAGCATTTCTCCACCGGACGGCACCGTACTTGGCCACGAAAGAGCTCTGATTCTACGAGGAAGGGAACACGGTCTTCCACGACCGTTGTCGCTCTCCCTCGTAGAATCAAAGCTCCTCCTTGACGTCCGTTACCGCTCGGCAGAGAACATGCTCGCCGAGATGAACATGGTCCGCAAGTTCAACTAGCTACTTTAACCTTCTTTCATGTAAATATGCAAGCTTGAAGTGATTTTGAGCTCAAATTGCTTACAAATGAAAAAAAACCACAATAAAGAACCATATATATATATATATAGTGAACAAAATGAGATAAGACAATGGTGAAAAATGAGAGTATGAGATTGGTAACCTTTACAACTGAAGAATCGACGGAGGAATCGAAGAAATCGACGGAGGAATCGAATAATGGATGGAGGAACAATGGAGGGAGGGAGGAAGCAAGAACACTAGTGCAGTGAGCTTCAAAATATGCTGAGCTCGGGCTCGGGGAGGAAGAAGGAGACGGCCGGGATATAAATGGGGGACCTTTAGTCCCGGTTGGTGGCTCCAACCGGGACTAAAGGTAACTTTCCAACCCCGGGCGCAGCCACGGCCCGGGAGTAGACCTTTACTCCCGGTTGGAGCCACCAACCAGGAGTAAAAGTATACCTTTAGTCCCGGTTGATGGCTCCAACCGGGACTAAAGGTCCCTGCCACCTCTGTCTGGCGCAGTAGCCGTTGGGCAGGGACCTTTAGTCCCGGTTGGAGACACCAACCGGGACTAAAGGTATTTCTAGTCCCGGGCGCAAAAAATTCCGGGACTAGAGCCCATTTTGACCGAGGATCAAAGGTCTGTTCTTTACTAGTGGCAGAACTATGTGGCGCACCTTCTCGTGGCTCATACATGGAGATCAAGAGCCGACCATGTGGCGGCATAGTCCGGCCGCCATGGCCTCACGTATGAGAAACGGCTAGAGATCAGAGAAAGGAGAAAACCATCTCAACCATTGGATCACCAGACAGACAACCTAGAATGGCCCTTGACCCCATCAACCCAAAAATTGAAGAACACATGAATAGTTCTTCTTGTCTTTTTAATCTATAATTAAAATTTTTAACCAATCTATCTCCCTAGCATGCAAGAGCTTCAAACGAGATGATCCTTTTTCTATTTTTTTAATAAAATCATGATCTATGACATTTATTTAGATGTTACCTGTTCTGTCATAAGTTTTTTTTGCATATGTCTTGTTTCCTTGTGCCAAGGTAGCAAACAAGTCTTTTCATTATTGAACCAAATTTAGTACATGATTTTGTATCGAAACCCAAAATACATCCTTATAACATCTCTAAAAAAATATGAATAAACAATCAAAGGCCAGAAGTTCACGCTTAGGTTAGCCCACTTCCAGAAGTTTTTTTATGCTCAAAGCATCCATAGGTCCAGATGTTCCAGAAGTCCTAGAAATAACGACTTTAGTGGGGACTGTATAAACTCGTACATCTTCATCCAAAAGTCCTGTCCACTTATTCACTGTGACCTAACTTTAGCCAAAAGAGATCAGGCACATTCATAGCTCCCTTCTCTAAATCCTCTTTGACTCTCTAGCTAGATTTGGTGAGAAATTGAGTGAAGGGAAGGAAAAAAGGCAAGATTAGTTAATATTCATCCTTGAGTTCTTTGCCAAACTGGTGTGATTCATGTTTGATACTCTTAGGGCTTGCCCCTAGATGGCTAGCCGTCACCCATGAAGCTCCCAACTCATGTGGTGAGCTCCGAGAGGATTGTATCACCCTAAAGCCATTTGTACATTGATTTCATCTTTGGTTTCAGGCGACCTTCCGGACATGTCGGATCGGGATCTTGGCCTCGTGGCACCTACAGCTCATTGCCTGCACTTGTCCTTCTTGAACAATAATTCATATATAGCTTAGCTCTTTGATTTGGTTTGTCTTTTTTGCGACCATGTTTTTCGTGGAAGCCTACGACTCTATTTCTAGGTGGGTATTTGTGTTCAATGCCTTTTTGTTTGTTCCAAGGTTCTAAATATCTAGGTATAGATGTCACTATGTACTGTTATAGTTGTTTGAGGTAGGTCAAGCTAGTGTCCATATATAAGTTTGCTGACATATAGTTCTCTATAGCCTTATTTAGCTCCACTCTTAGCTATTTTAGAGGCCATATGCTAAATACCATAGCTCGAGATTTAAAACATTGTTTGTTAACGGGGCAGCATGCCAGCAATATTTAGAGGGTCAGTTTTTTTTTAAATGTCACCAGGGGGGGGTATTGTTCCCCCACCTGAATTTTATTTCAAAATTTGGAGGAACAGGTTACATTTGTTCTGACACAAAACGTTGTGGCAGGGGGTGGGGGGGTGATGATGTTGCTGATCTACATTACATCGTTAAACACATGACACCAGAGATCAGCTACGGCTCTCGAAGGTACCGGCATTCTTAGGCGCCAAAGTTGAGCCTCAACTTTACAAGCTGCTAAGACCTGTTGCAGGTTTATTAGAGGGTCAGTTTTACACACTTACCCAAACAGCAGTTGTCGCTTGTAGGGGTATAAACATCTGGTATATATGTTCCAGACGTTTTTTGTGCACAAGAAAATACAATGCAATTACAGGAGCAAAACACTTTGATGCTCCCCAACAGGGGCTACAAGAGAAGCCAAGTGTTGCTATAGATGGAGGAAATATAGGCGGCTCTGAACGTCACCAAAAGGATGGAGAAGTGGCCGGGTGAAGATCGAGTGAAAGAGAAGTTTCTTAGTAATAATCAGGTGATGATTATTTGTGTTGTTCTCATCTGTTGGACGGCTGAGAGGGGGGTGGGGGGGCGCAAAAACTGGTTAATTTGCTTCAGCAACATGCAAAAGCCACTTGAATCAAGTATCTTATTCAATGTATCCAAGCTTTTTGGGCTGTACGCCATGCACATGCACTTAGACACAGACTAAGCCTTCTGAGCTCCTCAGGTGAAGTAAACCGTCCAAAGGGAGCTGCCCCTTTTGCAAGTGTTACTCCACTTAGACACAGACTAAGCCTTCTAACCAAGCTTATCCAAAATTCGAAACTAATTCATCTGGACAAGTTCATGGAATTCTCCTCATGGCTTATATTGGACAGAACAACCAATGCAATCCATCGCCATTTCCTTTTTCAGCTAAACCTGCCATGGACAAGCAGTCATCCAGCTAGTATAAATACGTATTCCAGGCTTCCCATGGATCTTACCAATGCATGCATTGCAGACTAGCAAACCATCACACACAGACCACAGATCAACCACAAGTGCAAATAAGCCAAGTTTTAACAACATACAATGGAGGTAGTCTCATCGTCGAAGCTAGCGTGGTTCGCTCTCGCGTTCACCGTGGTGTCCGCCGACGCTGCCGGCCGTGTCTCGGCCCAGAACACGGCGCAGGACTTCGTGAACCTGCACAACTCGCCGCGCGCGGACGTGGGCGTCGGGAACGTGACCTGGAACGCCACGGTGGCGGCGTACGCGCAGAGCTACGCGAACCAGCGCGCGGGCGACTGCCGGCTGGTGCACTCCGGCGGCCCCTACGGGGAGAACCTCTTCTGGGGCTCGGCGGGCTACGCCTGGGCGGCGTCGGATGCCGTGGGATCCTGGGTGGCGGAGAAGCAGTACTACGACCACGCCACCAACACCTGCTCCGCGCCGTCCGGCCAGTCGTGCGGCCACTACACGCAGGTGGTGTGGCGCGCCTCCACGGCCATCGGCTGCGCCCGCGTCGTCTGCAGCAACAACGCCGGCGTCTTCATCATCTGCAATTACTACCCGCCCGGCAACGTCATTGGACAGAGCCCTTACTAGCAAGTAGCAACCTATACGTACGTACTTGTGACTTGTGAGAGCAGCAGGCAGCAGCATCCTACGCGCGTGATGCCATGCATGTCAGCATGATGTGTTACTTATGCGCCCCGCATATGCATTTCATGATTGATCATGTAGCTATGGATGAAATTTATTATATATCAATAAATCACGTGGACATGTGAGACATATATATATAGCTACTCGTTCCATCCACAAAAGAATACAATTATGGTATCTGTGCCGGTCAATTGAGCTTAAGTTTGTCTAAGTTTACAGTAAATAGTATTAGCATTTATGTCTCTAAATAAATTTATTATGAAAATATAGTGTATAACTAATCTAATTATACTTATTTTGTATAAAAAATGTTTGTACTTTTTTATATAAATTTAATCAAGTCCAAACTGGTTGACTCCTCGAAATCCGAGAATTGCCTTCTTTTGTGGACGTAGGTAATACCTTTTACATTATTGTTTGTTCTTGATCGTAATTTTTGTTCGGTTACTAGCAAACGAGCAATCACTACCGGAAACATCAATTTTGCCGAGTGTTTTTAGGTTTGCCGAGTATTTTTCCTCGGGCACTCGGCAAACAAGTTCTTTGCCGAGTGCTGCGCTAAAAACACTCGGCAAAAACGAGGTTTGCCGAGTGTCAAAAAAACACTCGGCAAAGAGGGGGTTTGCCGAGTGTTTTTTTATACTCGGCAAAGAAATAAAATCTTTTTCTGGAAAAGAAGGAGAAGAAAAAAATAAAAAAAAAACTTTGCCGAGTACCTAGATCTAGGACACTCGGCAAATAAAAAAACTAACTTAATTAACGCCGCGCCCGCGCCCTCTCTCCTCCTCCCTCCCTAGATCCCCCCCCCTCCTCCTCCTCCCTCCCTAGATCCGCCCGCTCCCGCCTCCCGGCAGATCTCTCTGGCGCCACCGCGTCCGTGCCCTCTCTCCTCCTCCCTCCTAGATCCACCCACGCCCTCTCTCTCCTCCTCCCTCCCTAGATCCGCCCGCCCCCTCTCTCTCCTCCTCCCTCCCGGCAAATCTCCGGCGCCACCGCACCCTCTCTCCTCCTCCCTCCCCAGATCCGCCCGCGCCCTCTCTCCTCTCTCTCACTCTCGGGATGGAGGCGGCAGCCAGTGAGTGGGGTAGAGGTCTGCTCCGGCGGCGCGTCTCCCGGTGGCGGAGGTCTGCTCCGGCGGCGCTCCGACGGTGGATCTGGCGCGCCCCAGCGAGGAGCAGCCCGGATCCGGCATGGAGTAGCCCGGATCCGGCAGGCGCTAGCGAGGTGGCGGCGCTCCTCCACCGGTGTCGGGCCGGCGATGCGGCGCTCCTCCTCCACCTCAGCTCTACGCCATCTCCGGTGCGCCCTCTCTCCTCTCTCCCTCCGACAAGCTCCCTCCGGCCTGGCAGCGTGGATCCGGCGAGCTCCACCACCTCGAGCTCCAGATCCGGCGGGCGGGTGGCGGATCATCAGAATGTACAACTTATTACATGATTATATGGACGTACGATTTGCAGCTTGAAGATTTATTAAACGATTGTCATCTATTTTAATACATTTGAAATCGAATTATGTACCATCACTTGACGCATCTTGGAATAAGATTTTGTAGCATCGTTGGGCTCACACTAACTTGTGTAAGCATGGGCCATGAGTCCGGGTAATATGAGATAGAAAGGGACATGTGAGCATTGTTAGAATTGAAGTAAAAAAATGGACAGAAGAATTCTTTCTCCCTATTATGATGTTAATATATACCAGCAAACTTGCTCATGCATTGTAATAGAACGTAAACAGAAGAATTCTTTCTCCCTATTATGATGTTAAATATATACCAACAAACTTGATCATGCATTGTAATAGAACGTATATGGCTTGTTGTGCGGTTACTTTGGACTATTTGTGCCTTGGAGATCTATTCAACATCAGGGTCATTTGTTCCTATTGAAATCTAACTCTGTATCATCGTTGGGCACACCTTAGAATTGGACTCCATCGTTCGACGCATGTTGTCATAACTCGTACGAGTACGGGTTGTTGTTCTAACTCATATGGTCATGAGTCTGGGTTAGATACAGGACAGGGAGGGGCGTGAGGGCATTTTAGGAACTAAAAAAAAGACAGACAGAAGAACCATTTTGCTCTTTAATATTTATTGTACTGCTATACTATTTTTTAACTTAACTTGTGGTGGTCAGTGAGCTGCGACTGCTCTGCAATTAAATCTCATCTCTATGGGTGCTATCAGTTCTATGGGGAATAGATGCAAGCCATTCGAATGACAAATAAAACGTGGACTAGGCTATTTCATTTCTCTCTCTCCCTGATGATGATTTCATCTTCCTGATGAATGACAGCAGGTAGATAATATTCCTACCGTGTGGATACTTCTGAAGCTCAAAATGCTGGGTGACCATTGACAAAATGGAGAAGAAGGTGATTATCATACTATGCTTTGGATTCACATAAATAAACCTAACTTCCTGTTTTTAGTATGATGTGGAAGGAGTTACTGTTAGCTTCGGGCCTGTTAGCTTGAAGGAGTCTCTGTTAGCTTACTTGTATCAGTATTTCAACACGGTTACTTGTTGTCATCCTTTTTGGTGCACCTTGATCTTATGATCATGTTGATGGGCAGCAGGAAGTGTAACCAGAGCTAGGCATAATTTTTTTTCCAATTTAACCATTGCATGATGAACTGCCACGTTATCTCAAAAATATGTTCAATAAAATAGGTTCTAACTGAAACTCCTCACTTCAATCATGCTTTTAATTAAACTCCTCACTTTAAACTGCAACACTGTACACTGTTTAACATCCGATGCGGTACTCACGAACTCAAATTCTTACAGAGTCATAATGGACCTAAAAGTTAGTATGATGTCAACTTTGTCTTTCACATCCTCTTGGATGATATAATCATGTGTTTTTATGATGTTAGTTTTGAGTGATCTGCAAGTGTAGCTGCTCAAATACTGAGTCTTTATTCTTTTGTTATCATTGATGGTCTAAAACTGCATGCTGGCTTTGATTCAACTAAGTGTGTGTAAATCTGATTCGCATGTACGTAGGTCAGTGGTTTGACTAATGTTGGCTGAGACTAATAACAAACGGCACTGATGTTGGTGGCCACAACAGTCAGACGCACTCTTGACGGTGCAAAAGATTAACAGAATGACATTGATGTTGCACTACTGGAAACTCGAATTGTGTTCTGTGGGTGACGAATTTTTCTGTGCGTTTTTCGATACGCACAGAAAAATTATTATGATTTTTCTGTCGGTTCCAAAATATCCCGACAGAAAAATACGAAAACCCACAGAAAAATTGCGTGACAATACACACACGGAAAAAATCAGCACTCACAAAAAAATGCAATTTATTCTGTCAGTTCTTTAAAAACGCACAGAAAAAATATGTGCACGCACAGAAAAATCATAACCCTAACGCGCCGGCCGCCGGGCCCCCAAACACCCTCTCACGCACGCACTAGACCGCGCCCCCTCCCTCACTCTCTCCTTTCAACACCGCGCCCCTCCCTCTGCGACTCAGCGCGGGGGCTCCTCCCCTCCCCCTTCTTCACCCGGCCGGATCCGGCCCTCCCTCTCTGGGATCCGGCCGGTGGCTGCAGTGGTGGTGGTGGTGGCCGGCGGCGGGGGGTGGTGGTGGCGGCGGCCCTCCCCTCCCCCTTCTTCTCCCCCGCCGGCGCCCCTCCCCTCTCCCTTCTTCTTCCCCGGCGGGCGCCCCTCCCCTCCCCCTTCTTCCCCGGCGGGTGCCCCTCCCCTCCCCCTTCTTCACCCAGCCAGATCCGGACCTCCCTCTCCCGGGTCCGGCAGGTGGCTGCGGTGGTGGTGGTGGTGGCCGGCGGCGGGGCGTGGTGGTGGCGGCGGCCCTCCCCTCCCCCTTCTTCTCCCCCATCGGCGCCCCTCCCCTCCCCCTTCTTCACCCGGCCAGATCCGGCCCTCCCTCTCCCGGATCCGGCCGGTGGCTACGGTGGTGGTGGTGGTGGTCGGCGGTAGGGCGTGGTGGTGGCGGCGCCCCTCCCCTCCCCTTTCTTCTCCCCCGTCGGCGTCCCTCCCCTCCCCCTTCTTCTTCCCCGGTCGGAGTTCAGCTGCCTTGGTTTCTCAGTTCAGCTGTAATGCAGCGTGTGTGGTTCCTCTGACTGGTTGGCAGATAGCTGCTATTGAGTCTGGACAACAAGTTTGTCATCAATCCGCTGAAACCAGTACCTGCATCTCCTTTCAGTGTATTAGTCATCAGGAGTACTAGGAGTTCAATAGCTGCAATCTAGCAGGAAAACACTGGTTGTAGCTGGGCCAACATTGTCTATGCACTCCATAGCTTGTGTAACAAATTTGTGCTATTCTGGAATTCCGAATGCATGTAGTGTTCTATCCATTTGCTTCTACTTCCTATATGACTCTAGACAAAGGAAATTAGTAGCCATGGTTGATCCTATCTGTTTTACCTTGCATCCATTGTAGACACAATCTCACTTTTTGTCAACTTAGTTACAGCTGTTCTGTATTCTTACTTTTTGTCAACTTTGTCAACTTAAGATGTAGTGCGGTGTAAATTGCTTGATGAGATGTCTCTCAAGGTTGTATTGAAAAATCTGGAAGGCTAGCTACTTACACATAGAAACAGCTTTAGGTTTATATAAAAAATCTTTGTGGTTTAATTTACATTTGCACATCCAAAATGATTTTGGTATTACTGGAATGAAATTTAGGTGTGCATACTGCTGCTTGGGTTCTCTATTTTCTTTTTCCTGTTGTATGATGATTCTCAGAAACCTGCAGAATGTAGGTTACTTTTGAGCAGTCCCATTTACAATCGTATCTGAATATAGTAAGATTTTGTGTCATCTCAGCGTGATAACAGGAGCAAAGCATGTTTATTTCAGCCAGCCTACAGGAACCATGCCAGTTGATTTTCCTATTATACTACTTTTAGAACTAATACTTGGAGCGTAATTGGCAACTGAATTATGCTACCAC